TGCTCGAGGCTGTTGAAGTCGTAGGAGTCCTTGTTGACGTCTAGTCAGCATTGTCTCCACTGTAGGTGACATGCCATGCCCTGTGGATTTTTGACTTGGTGGGGTGCCGAGGCCTAGCAGGTCGTAGCTAACCACGCCGAGGCCTAATTTGCCGAGGCCTTGGAGGTGACCTGTGTATGAGGCGGGGGCCTCGGCGGTCAGCGTCGTACCCAGTTTAGGTGAAAAAGTGTAGGGCATGTGTCCGCAGGGCATGGCAACCCCTGCACCGTCAGTAAGGGATGGTAAAAAGGAGATTTGACCGTTGTCCCATCGCTCCTGTTGCTGTACCCTACCAGTCGTGGCTAACGTAGCGGATGCATTCAGACGCATGAAATGGATGGGACAACCTGCCAGAGGGACTGCCTCGGCGAGAGGGCCTCGGCGAGAATCGGCCTCGGCGAGAGGGCCTCGGCGGGGCGAATCGGAGAATCGGCTTCGGCGAGAATCGGCCTCGGCGAGAGGGCCTCGGCCGGGCGAATCGGAGAATCGGCCTCGGCGAGAGGGCCTTGGCGAGAAGGCCTCGACGAGGCGAATCGGAGACTCGGCCTCGGCGAGAGGGCCTCGGCGGGGCGAATCGGAGAATCGGCCTCAGCGAGAATCGGCCTCGGCGAGAGGGCCTCGGCGAGAGGGCCTCGGCGGGGCGAATCGGAGACTCGGCCTCGGCGAGAGGGCCTCGGCGAGAAGGCCTCGGCGGGGCGAATCGGAGAATCAGCCTCGGCGAGAATCGGCCTCGGCGAGAGGGCCCGGCGGGGCGAATTGTTGAATCGGCCTCGGCGAGAGGGCCTCGGCGGGGCGAATCGGCGAATCGGCCTCGGCGAGAGGGCCTCGGCGGGGCGAATCAGAGAATCGACCGAGGCCCCGTGGTTGTCCTTCGGCTTTGATATTTGTAAGGTCTAAGCAATCTTTTCGGTTCTTGCTTAGGGTACCCCTTTTTATGGTATCCGACACTATGGATGACTATATCCGTATTGGGGAGAGTACTGCTCTAGAAAGTCTTAGAAAGTTTGTTAGAGCTGTTGTTCAGGTATTTTGACATGAATACTTGAGGTTGCCCAATGAGGATGATACTGCCAGATTACTTGCGATTGGTGAGAGTAGAGGTTTTCCTGGCATGCTTGGTTCCATTGATTGTATGCACTGGACCTAGAAGAATTGCCCTTATGCATGGCAAGGTATGTATAGGGGACATAAAAAGGAGCCTACAATTATTCTTGAAGCTGTTGCTTCTAAAGATCTTTAGATTTGGCATGCTTTCTTTGGGATGCCAGGTTTGCACAATGATATAAATGTTCTTCACAGATCTCCTATATTTGCAAGGCTACCTGAAGGTCAAGGGCCACAGGTAAATTATAGCATCAATGTGAATGATTATACTATGGGTTACTATCTAGCAGATGGTATATATCCATCTTGGGCCACATTCGTGAAGACCATACCCGAGCCACGGAGTAATAAGAACAAATATTTTGCAAAAGCACAAGAAGCTTGTAGGAAGGATGTCGAACGAGTATTTGGGGTTCTACAAGCTCGCTTTGCCATTGTTCGAGCGCCGGCACGTGTGTGGGATGAGGATACAATTAAACTTGTCATGACGGCTTGTATCATTATGCACAATATGATTGTTGAAGTCGAGGGAGTTGACGAAAAAGATTTCAGATATGATGATGTGGGAGAAAAGGTGACTGTATCACACGATGCTACACCTGAGTTCGATGCATTTATGCAGAATTACAAGAAGATCAAGGACAAGGAGACACACACACATCTTCAAACCGACCTTATCGAGCACTTGTGGCATAATTTTCCAGATTTATATACAAATATTACTGTTGAATAATTTTATTTACTATCACAACATCAAGGCATTATGTATTAGTTTCCAGACCTATGTTCTTTGTTTGATTTACTAGATACTGTAATAGTTCAAGGCATATTTGTTTTGTGACAAGCTTGCCTTTTATTTATATTGAAAGCCTGAATGTTTTGCTTGAAAGCCTGCAACACTAGTTGCAAACATTGCTTTGATGCAAGGAATGGTTCTTTTCCCTGTACAATGGCTCTCAGATGCAAGTACTTGTATTGCAGAGCAAAAGGGCAAACTTAGTCCTCCAAAAATAGTTTGCTGTCAGTTTTAGACCAACATGTCTTTTGTTGACAGTTTAGCAGTGGAAGCACTCACCATAGCCTGACAGGACTCATTTGTTAAAAACATAACTGTACATTTGTTAAAAACAAAAAAAAACCCAGATGCAAAGGTACAAAACACTAGGCAGGTTGCAATACATAATACAGTAGCTGGCTAAATTAATCTGCTATGAAGAGGACCTGAGGGCAGTGTTCAACCTGCACTTCTATGTATTGTCGAACAGGCTACAGTAGGTTCCACAGAGCAAATGTAGTGTCACAAGCCCAAATATATTTGTGATGGTGCAAACGTCAAAAGCAGCTCCTTTACAGAATAATATAGATAACAAGGTTCATGCAAGAACATTAATCAATCTGATATGCTGTGAACTAAAATGTTTCAGAAAATTAAACATGTCTCACACTATGCTCAAATCTAAAAAAATCGAAATCATGGTTCTACTAATTTCCAAGCCGTCTTGCAAGTATTTTCTTCTATTGATCATCGTAGAATTGTTGCTGTCTGGTTGACATGCTCATATCAATATTTATAATTCTTTCTTCTTCTCGATCTAGCTCAAAATCAAAAATTTCTTTGTCAAGTTTTATCCTTTCTTCCTGCAAGGCAAGGGTTTTTTAGCACATCTCTTGTTTCTTCAACTCCCTTTCCTTTTTCTTCAACTCCTTCTCAGCATCCACCTCTTTCTTCTTTGCCAATAAATAATCCAAAGCTTCCATGCTTGAACGTTGCTTTAATTTCAGCTTTTCCTTCTTAGTCCCTGTAGGCCTCGGCACTGTGGTTATTGTGGTTTCAGTCTCAGCTACAGTACCAGTGACAGGGTCTAGTGCATCAATAGCAGGAGTTGAATCAGCAGTGGTCTTTTGCTTTTTGCTTAATGGTTTCTGAGGTCCAGTTGGCTGGCGCCTATTCGTCCACTTCGAATGGTCTTTCAGTATTTTTCAGCAATGTATGTACTGGAAAGTCATGTGTAATGGGTCGTCATTCTTATACATAGTTAATGCATTTGCTTACTGCAATGGGAAACAAAGATGACACATGAGACTCAGCTAAAACATATAGGAAATTAGCATGTGAAGGTAGGTCATCTAACCTTGTCATCAACGGATGCACCACTCTGATTTCGGGCCTCTACCTTCGAAACACAACCAGCAAATATGTTGCAGTCATGTAGTATACTAGACCACCGACTCATTAGAGAACTTGGTGTGCGATCAGATTCAAAATCCTTTTTTGAATGAAAGTAATCATGTATTCTTTTCCAATAGTTTTTTTGATTGATGGGCTCCTCTCACAAGATCCAAACTCACATTCCGCACTCTAAATTTGGTAATGTAATAATGAATTTCTAAGAACTCTGTATGTACGAAATGTACTAAGTATTGTAACTCGTTCTCATTATTGGATTCTTGGAGAAAAATGTGGACTATTCGGGCTCTCCCTTGGGGTGTGCCCGACGGAACCTGCCCGCTGTAGCTCGCTTTCGGGGTGCTTAGTGTCTGGTGGAAGACGAGCGCCTCCATAAGTGTGTTATTTCGGACGGTTCTGCCACACGGCTCTAGCTCCTCATGTGGAGTTGAATTTGTTTTAGAAAATATTTAGCAAAAACAGCTCCAGTGCAGTTTTGTAATAATTTATATTATATCTGTGAGAAGAAGCTGAAAGAAGCCATATTTCTTCGGCTTCAACTCCTCCATATAAAAACGGCTACAACTCCTCAAGGCTCTTTGCTAGAAGCCATTTTTTAGGGCCCCTTTGGCAGGGCTCATGAAGACGTCCTGTCGGCCGACCAGTAGCCGATATGAGACACTGTAGCAGGAGCCGCCAACAAGCTCCGCCGGCTCCGTGAACAGTACCTGCTACAGTAAGAGAAGAAAGGAGAGGGAAAATCGGCTCCGAGCTACAGTGTTTCTACGGTAATATGCACAGTGATTGTCGGGCGGAGCCGGAGCCGTCCGGAGCCATGCAAAGGGGACCTTAATCGTCGTTTGCCAGGGCTCCTTGCAGGAAGCCGCGAGAACCCAGATTCCCACGGCGTGCTGTGAGACCAGGCTACAGGTTGGTCTTGCTTGGAGATAGACGGAGCGGCCAGCCGGCCATTGCTGCAGATATATCAGTGATGCAGACTCGCGGAGTAAACAAAATTCTTATATTTATCTTTTTTTTTTGGGCCAGTACGAAAAACTTTTGACCCATGATATTCTTTCGTGAAGCCTGTTGATATGTTCACTAGTGGCCGGTGAGACTAGCTACAGTGTGATGAAAATTCGATGCTGAAACGAGTGAACTTTTTTCAAGCCTCGGTACATCGTGACATTGCAGAGAACGATGCTCACTTGAAGAAAGCTAGGCACCTAGTCAAGTGCATGCATCGATGATGACTTGAAGTAGGGAGTAGCAAGTACAGGTAGGAGAAAAACGGATGGAACGGGAGGAAATTAAAGGGGGTCCCATGTGCGCTAGTCGTGTCGATTTGAACGCTGTGCCCGTTCATAGTTCCACGCATCTTGTCATGTGGCTAGTCTTCCAGATGAAAGAAAATATCCGTGGAAAATAGTACTTGTATAGGACTGGACCAGTACAACCAGCAGTGCAGCTGCTTTCAGTCCTTCACGGCTTGTCCAAATGTCTTCCTGTTTTCTTTGACCAAAAACTCGTGTTGACAAAACACTACTGCATTATTAATTAGTACTACTCTGATTAATTAGGTACTCATATATATGCTCCATTCCGATCATCTGGATCAGCACCACAGAGACAGAGCTCGTCACGAACCCTCGCTCGTTGAGCAGGCGAGCGACATACATGGCCATGGGCCATGGCGGCCTTCCAGCTTCATAATAGGCCTCCTCCATCTGCTATGCCATGTCGTCAATCCACCGTCCTGCTCCTCTTCTGCTTTCTGCTGTCTTGTTCCCACCCCATATCCTGCACTTGCTTCGGCTCCCCACAGGATCCCGACAGCAACCTTACCGTGAGCGGCGCCTTCGACCAACTGCCGGGCTACCTGTTCCTCACCAACATGAGTACCTGCAGAACAAACTGGGAGAGGGTGGATTGCCGTGGCCTAGGCTCCTACATGACGAACAACTATCCGGCTTTCGACCTGTTCCAGAAAGGTTGGTTCTTCGTCCGGCAACATATTGTTCTTGTCCAACACAAGTACGATGGTAGACCTGATGAAGCGTCCTTCAGCGTCGTCTTCACCATGAGCATCTACCAGCCAAACAACGAGATGAAGGCAGCAAATGGCGCCAGTCTGGTGTTCGCCGTTGAGCCTCTGTTCCTCCCATTCGACTCGTGGGGCATTTTCACCCCACCCAATTGGCAGGTACTTGGCCCCTCCAGCTCCTCCAACCCCTCGTCATCCACCGATAGTGCTGGCGGCCACCTCACCGCTGAGATCGGTACAGCCCGAGATAACGGGACGTTGCTGTATCTTGGCGACATAATCTGGGTACAAATTGGCATAGATCCGCCACCGCCAGTCAACTCTTCTGTGGCAGCGGCAAGCAAGTACAGCGTGTGGATCGACTATGATCATGTCAGCCACCGCATGTCAGTCTATGTCGACGCCGGTGAAGACACGCCAAAGCCTGCAAACGCGATAGCCAGCAAGAACCTCACCATCAGAGCGCAATACGCATTGCTAGGCCTTTTCTCCTCCATGGGGCAGCTCCTACAGGTTCACTCATGGAACTCCACGGTCGACGGGCTCCCCGATTTCCAGGACACAACTGGCGTACAAGACAAGACCATCATACTGTCCTCCGTCCTTGGATCGGTGGCTGCGACGACCATCACGACTGCCCTTGTGTTCTTGTACCTCAACTCCAAGTACAGGAGGTGGAAGAAAGAACAGGATGAGCTGACCAAGATCATGCAGGGTATCCCCGGGGTGCCAGCCCACGTTGACTTCACTGAGATAAGGAAGGCCACGAGGAACTTCCATGAGACGACCAAGCTTGGCAAGGGAGGGTTCGGAGCTGTGTACCGATGCAAGCTTCCTCCTGCTGTGGCTTCTTCTAGGAGTAGTAGGTCGGGGCGGCGAGGAGCCATGGACGCGGCAGTCAAGAAGTTCACGCGTGAAGTTGAGGACCACCGCTGTAGTGACTTCATCGCTGAGGTCAGCATCATCAACCGTCTGCGACACAAGAACATTGTCCCACTTATTGGTGAGTACAATAATTGCCCATGTTCTGTTTCTTTTGAACACCTTAGTACAATATAAAAAGAGCATAGTACTTAGTAGTATTATTATGTACTGTATTCTTGAATGGGAGTAGTAGTACTTAGATAGTGCACAAAATTTTCAGGCTGGTCCTACAACAAAGGTGAGGCACTCCTCATCTACGAGTACATGACCAACGGCAGCCTGGACCAGCATCTCTTCCAGAACGGCAGCGTGCAGCAGCAGCAGCAGCAAGAAGACGGAGACACGTCTCTCCGGCAATGGCACACCCGCTACGGCATCGCCAGAGACATCGCCACAGGCCTGCACTACGTCCACCACGAGCATGAGCCCATGGTGCTGCACCGCGACATCAAGGCCAGCAACATCATGCTCGACTCCGACTTCCGTGCCCGGCTCGGCGACTTCGGCATCGCCTGCACGGTCGCTGTCAACAGGAGCTCCGTCACGGGCATCGCCGGCACGTGGGGCTACATAGCGCCGGACTACGCGATGAGCTACAAGGCCACGCGCCAGACTGACATCTATGCGTTCGGGGTGCTGATCCTCGAGATTGTTACAGGAAAGAAGAACGGGGACATGGTGGACATCCCACCTGAGGACGATGAACACATCACGGACTGGATCTGGCGTCTCCACGGGGAGGGAGGCTGCTCGATGCCGTCGATGGCAGTGTACTTGTTGCCGCCGGTGGTGGTGGTGATCAGCAGGACGACAGGGTCGCTGACGAGGCCAGACGTCTGCTGCTTCTTGGACTGGCGTGCACCGACCCTAACCCGTTGGATCGTCCCAGCATGGCTGAAGTGCTGCAGGTCATCACCAAGGTTATGCCGCCACCGGACGTGCCACCTAAGAAGCCAGCCTTCGTGTGGCCGCCGCGAGACTGGCGTTCACGCAACTCTGTCTACAGCACGGCCTTGAGTGACTGGGACCGGGACCTGGACGGGAGCTTGGCAAGCACGGCGGAGCTGGCGCAGGTCAGCATGGAGCAGCCGTCGACAACCGTCGCTGGAGGACACGCCTCCGTTCGTAGCAGATCGACGCAGAGACTACACGGAGGCACAGAGCAGACGCAGCCCATGAAGGATGAGCCGAATCTTCCTCTCTGCTCTTGGCCTCGCTCATAACCGGGACGGAGTGCAGCATGTGTATGCACTATGCACCATGCATAGTCTGATCCTAATCCTACCGTATACATATTTCATATTTGTAGGTACTGTAATAAATATATTTGTATCCTTAGCTATCTTTGGGAAGAACTAGCTCGAACTCTCGTGCAATTGCGTGGACTAGGAACTCTGATAATCGTCTAGGCTGGTATATAAACCCTGCTCTGCTCTGTTAAACAGAGCTACATACAGCTCACCTCTGTGCTGTGCTTTTGTCTCTAATGGTTTGAAAATATAAATGGCCACATACAGCTTTTTTCAAGAAATTCTCTAGGTAGAACTTGTGCCAAATTGCATGATTCTGCACCCCCTTGCTACTAGTAAGAGAAGATTCCAAGAATAGGCGGAATTGGCTTTTGACCAGCTTCTTTACAATAAGACCGGGTCTAGTTTCTAAAAATTTTCATCCTAAACTATCACATCAAATTTTGCGGCACATAAAGTATTAAATATAGATAAAAAAAATAATTACACAGTTTAGTTGAAAATCGCGAGACGAATGTTTTAAGACTAATTAGTCCATGATTAGCCATAAGTGCTACAATAACTAACATGCGCTAATGATGAATTAATTAGGCTTAATAAATTTGTATCGCAGTTTCTGGACGAGGTATGTAATTAATTTTTTTATTAGTATCCAAAAACTCATTCCGATATCCCAAAACATCCAACGTGACATCCAAAATTTTTCATTCCACGAACTAAACAGCCTAAACAGATTGTACGTGCTCAATCATAACAAACAGGATCTGATCAAAAGATGTGCACAATCACAGCCTATACCAGAGCAGACCAAAGCTGCTTGGGTCCAGTTTAGTTTGCAAAAAATTTTGCAAAATTTTTCACATTCCCCGTCACATCGAATCTTTGACGCATGCATGAAGCATTAAATATAAATAAAAAATAAAACTAATTACACAGTTTAGACGAAATCCACGAGACGAATCTTTTAAGCCTAATTAGACTATGATTGAACACTATTTATCAAATAACAACGAAAACGCTACGGTACTCATTTTGCAAAATTTTTTGCATCTAAACAAGCCTCGGCCTTTTGGCAGGCTAGCCATTGATGACTCTAGGGGCGTGCGCGTGCCTCAGCACGGCGGCGGCAGCAGCAGCAGCCGCCATGGAGCCGTGCGCCGTGCGTGGCAGACGGCAGCAGGCCGCATTACAGGGTTACTAATCCCCTGTGAGGTACTGCTGGATCTACCAAAGAATAGAAATCTCTCTTAGGAGTTAAATGCTGTAAAAATGTACTAATATTTATGATGCACAGTAAATATCACTAGATTAATCAAGGAACATGTTTCTACAATAAACCTAATTGAAAATATAAATGGCTACTTTTTGTAAATCTAGTCATACTTTGAATTGTTTGACTCTTTAGAAAATGTGATTTTCATTCTTTTTAGGAAGGAGGTACTAACATACGTAGCAACATAAGGATGCACATATATAATTAGCCCATAAAAGTTTTGTTTTGTTTTTCGAGGAGAGCTCATCCACCATAGTTAAGTTACGAAGGCAAAGGGCACGAGGAGCGATATGCTGCTCATATCTTGATGGTGAGCTTGGCCCTCCCTTTTTACTTTCACTAGAGAATTCCCGCCGAGGGCAACCTCACTGTCGAAGCTGAGTTCAGCATTTTGGCAAACATACGTGGCACGTGAACCACACTCTCATTTCCCCTCCACCTTCTGTGGGCATTGACCACCCAGAGCTTACCTAAACTCAGTGCATCATGAGCTAGGGAGGGGTTCAACATGCGTCGAGGCCTTGTCCACCATGCACCCGTGCGGTAGACTATTGACTCGGCAGAGAACAATCGCCACCCATGTTGCCACATGGCATGGCGCCCTGCCCGACATGTGTTCAGACTAGGACAGCCCAAGAACTGACCCTGTGGCCAGTGGCGGACCCAGGATCTGACACCAGGATAGTCCTAGTAAAAAAAATTTATGTGCAATACTATAAAATTCAAACAAAAGATCGACAAACTTAGCTATAAATTAACCAAATTATGATAATACATTTAAAATGTTGGAAACTTACATAAATATTCCCTCCATACCGGTAAAGAAAGTCGTTTAGGACATGATTTAGCATACAAGGAGTGATTAATTAAGAGGTATTTTCCTGTTTTCCTTTATTAAATAGGGTTGCGGGTATTGCCTATCTAACAAACTTTCGTAGCTGGACTGGTAAGTACGCTGCAGCCCGAGGCAGGAGGTCCCTCGGTTCGATCCCTCTCAGGCGCGTTATTATTTTGAAGAGCTCGTGGATTTGCGGTGTCTTCGGCCTGGGCTGAGACGAAGGAGAGCATTTGGGCCAGTTTCTCAAGAGTAGTAATAGAATTTTGAACCAAATTTGTGGGTAGTCCTGGGCCTATCCAGGCTACCCACTGGGTCCGCCACTGCCTGTGGCCAATATCCGGCCCATCTTAGCTTAGTTTCGGCCCAGTCAATTGGACTATTGAGTGTTGACCAATCAGCATCAATTTTCCTCAAAAAAAAAAAAAAAAAACAATCGTTGATCATGCCCTACCTATCAGTGCATGTGTGACCGAGAGCACATGGCGCTTCTTGGCTCCACCACATGTAGCTCTCTAAAAAATCAGCCCCTTACTAACATTCTGAGAATAGGAAAATGGCTTTTACTCTCTGAAAATTTAATTGAAATAAAATCCAAAAAAAAAATTCTTCTTGTACTATTTTTTTTTCCTAAAATGAGCTCTACTTGTTGGAGATATGTATGAATGCATTTGGGTCTTTTAATGTTAAGCCATTCATTTTATGTGTTTTATAGTGGATCGTTTAGTCCGATTATGCCCCCCTTTGGCTGGGCTTTCCAACCTGCTTTTGTTTTTGCAAAAGCCAAAAGTCAACCAAAGGGGTGAAAAGCAACAGTTGCTTTAGGCCAAAAGCTGCTTTTGCTCTAGTACAAAACTCAAAGCAGCTTCCTCTACTTTCAGCTGCTTTTGGGCCAAAAAATTACTCACCTGCCACTGGTAACGAGACACTGGTTCATTTTTTGTTCTATTCCCGTCCGCATCACGATGAAATGAGGGCCGCAGCGGCGTATCTCCAAGCAGCCGCTCCACTCTGGCCGTCGCGCCCTGGCTGGTATACTCTACGATGCGAATCTCCATCGCCGGACAACGTGAATCTCCATCGCTAGCGCGGGAGCTTCCTTGTGGATCTGGGTGAGCGAACGCGGCCTCCTTGCCGAAGTGCCGCCGTGGGTGAGCCCGGACTCTCCTTGCCGGAGTTGGGGAAGATGAGGTGGAGCAGGCGGCCTCTCCACTCCTCCATGGCCGGCGGGACCTTCCCTCCTCCATGGCCGGCTGCAAGAGGAGGTTCTATTGCAACTGGTATCACAATTGGTAGTGATATGTGGACGTTGTTGCCATGAAACTGTTGTGTTGTGTTAGTTGTACACTCTGTTGCAAGAGGAAGGTATTATGTCCACGGTTGAAAAGGCGGTTGCAAGTACATGTAAATACTGCAACAAATTTGTGCTGCCTTGTGTTAATAGTGAGTTTGCATTGCGCTAACAGGTTTTGTTGCCACCATTCTGAAGGTGGTTGCAAGGAGTTGTGAATATTATGGCTACAATGTCACTGCATTGCCTTAATCTTGGCCCGCATTGCGAAAGAGTTTCCTGTATTGCATCTATCAGAAATGTGATTCGTTGCATCCATGTAAGGTTCTATTGCCACCAATTTCATATATGGAGGCTATATTAAAGTATATCTGGTTGCAAGTATTAGTTGTATTGCCACATAAATTTATTCGTGGGCCTTGCATAGTCCTACACAGGCCAAAGGCAAAGGGGTTAGGCTAAACAGCCGATCACCGGGTAGGCCCATCGTGTCATGTAGGGTTTTACTATGGTACCCAAATAACTGTGGACCGTACATATTTTGTATACATTTGTTTATTTTGTTGCCTTTTCTTTTTTCTAAACATTTTAATTAATTAATAATTACTTAGTTATTGCAAGCATTTCAAAATGAAGGGCTAAGATTTTTTTGAGATCTTACCTCCCATGAGGTAAAGGGGTACCTTAGCAAGGCCCTGTCATGTAAGAGCAACTCCAAAAGACTCTCTATATCCTTCCTAAATGCTAGGAATAGAGATTTTGGTTAAAAACTATACTTCAACATCTTCTCTAAATGGTTATCCAAATATAGCCATCTTTTATTTCGAATTTTTCGCTAGTAAAAAATAGAAGACGAGAATGACTCTCTAGAGTACGAAGGAGATATAGAAGAACTGTTGGAGAGTGGAATGATATATAAAGCGATTTTTATGCAAATGACTCTCCAAGTGATGATTTAGAAAGTGGGATTTAGAAAGGGGAAATGGCTTTCCTCAGCTGCTGTTAGGCATGCAGTTCTCTGTCTCAGGGATCTCAAGCAATCAGGTGATAATTGCTTCAGTTTGCCTCTCTCTAATACAAAAGCTCCAATCAGATGCCATGGACGGCTCTGAAACTGTTGTTCTCGTCCAAGATATCAAACGGATGGTTCGAGGCTCTTCTATTACTTTTTCTCCCATCCATGTCAGTAGATGTTGTAATATGGTAGCACATGTACTTGCTAGGTCGGCCGATCAGCTCTCGACTCGGTTTGGTTTCACGAAGCAACAGATCTTATCTGGACTCCTCTATGTAACGATCGGTTCAATTAATTAAATGCTACCTTTTACTCTAAAAAAAAAGTGAGATCCCATACATGGCCTCAAGCCCTAAACTTGAGACGACGTTATGTTACTATTAATAAGCACGCTAGCAGGGTGAAGATTTTTTTTTAAATAAAGGTTTACACTGCTGTTGTCGTACAAAGAGTTTGGCTAAAAGACTGTCTCGAATTGATTGGAATGATTACTCTGAAATAGGTGTTACCTCTATTGAACCATTCAAGATAATTGTTCAGGAGTCTGAAAAGAAGAAATCAGTTTCAGTAAGCAAAGCATGTTCTGAGAGAGCTGTTTCAAGCCATAAACCAATGAGCTATGTCAAGCCTAACGAATAGATTTTGTTTTCAAGCCATAAATGTATGTTTCAGTTAGCATGATTCTGAAAACAGCGTATTAGAATGGTTCATTAATCTGAAAAATAACTTCATTGCAGAGGAGCATCTAGCTGATGGTATTTCACAACATGGTTCAGTTATCTTGGAAAAAATACACGAAAGACCAGCTGCTAGTTGATGGTTTACCAGCATATTAGCATGGTTCAGACACATGAATGGAAGTTAGCCAGCAGGCTTCTGAAGCTACTAAGGAAAAAAGTGACTAACATCAGAAGTTCAGTAAGCATGCATGGGAAGAAAACCACAATAGTAGTTGATGAGTACTATGCGTCATGAACGTTGAAACAGCTCGTTACTGTAATCCTTGCAATTGACTGAGTATTGCATCACTGTGTTTGAATAACAGCCCATCCATGCATGTGCCCTCTGTGTGAAGTGTAAATAGTACTGTTGATTTGCATTTGCGTTGGCAAACCTATGTCATATGGTGTATGAATGAGTGAGACTCAGCAAAAGTTTTCTCCTACAAATACTTGTGTAAAACAAATGGTGCTAATGCTTTTGTTTTCAGTTTTAGATTTGACTTGTTGGAGCATTTTTGTAATGTTATTACGTTTCTGTGAGCTTTATTTATGGGCTTGTGATTATAAATTGTGCAATCCTACTGGTGCTAGCTCTCATTGAAGGAAAACATAAATCACAAGTGGGAAACAAATTGGGAGCTGGTGCAAGGCTGCTAAATTTTTAAGAGTTTTCCCAGGCCCCCATATGAAATCCGTTGCAGTGCAGCAGAAGACAGGAAGAGCAGGAGCTGACCTGGAGCCCCCTCTCGCGGCGGAGCTGGAGCGGGAGACCGGACAGGGAAACAGGCGGAGATAGGAGGTCCGGGCGGGCCGGCGGCTACGGACGAGAGCATCAGCAGCAGGCTCCATCCTCCCTTCTCTACAACGACAATAGATCCATAGAGACTAAGAGGTGAACTGATGATGACAAAAGTTCCCCAACACAGGAACCCACGAATTATACTCTTCGCTGCAGGATCAACACCATTAACCGATGAATTAGTGAAGAAATTACTTGGCGGATGCTGACGATACGGGGAGCTATTTGAAGCAGCATCGATTCCGAAATCGGGGTGGGGCACACGACAAGAATTCGTTGCCCTTGAGGAGCTAGAACTGGAAGCGCGGGTGCGGCGCCAGGCAGCAGGGTGAGCACGATTGGTGCGCGGCGGCCGGCGAGGCTGAGGAAAGCGTTCAGCACGGGCGTGTTTGGTTACCTGGTGTAGGCCCTCTTTAATACAACTTGGGCTTATTTGGTTCCTATTTGACCTGGTAGCCAGGCTTCTACGAGCCCATTTCGTACTAATTTGGTGGCTTATTTGGTTCTCGCGAAGCCAGGCTTGGCCAGCCCCGCTGCCGTGTCCGCTCACCTCCTCTTTCGTCGGCTCGTCGCCCTCTGCGCCACGGACGCAGCTACGTGGGCCAAAGTGGGTTATAGCCCCTTTTGCTCAAGCTATATCACTCTAGAGATTTGCATATCGTTCTATGCATGCAATTAATTCCTATCTCTTTTATACCATGTTTGTTATTGCTAATGAGTAGATTATAGCTTACAAGTATGTAAATCCGCACATCGTTCATTCTTCTTAGACAGAATTCCAATTGTTCGTCGTAGACGTAGATAGAATTTGAAAAAAAAAACAAAGATTTTTCACGAAATTCCAATTATCTGTACGGCAGTGGTGTCCGTCGGCGAGGGGACAGAGGAGTGTCGAGCCGGTGGAGGACGACGAGCTGCAGCCATGGGGATGGCGAGGTTCCACTCTGCTCACAACCACGCGCGCCGCTGCCGGATACCACGCGAGCGCCGCCGACCCCTGCGAGAGCTCCCCCAGGTCCCTGCGTGCGCGCTGCCGAGGACGCCAACGAACGACGACGGCCCAGCGCGAGCTCCACCTTCTGCCATGGCGGATTCGCATGGCGGACTCGAGCTCCACCTTCTTCTTCCCTGTGCTCGCATGGCGGACTCGAGGTGGATCTTGTTCATCCCTGTGCCTGCTGCCATGCAGCCTGTTCGGGAGGTCGCATCGTATCGTGGATTATTTACTGCTGGCTGGTTTGGTGTGAGAGAAAAACACTGTTCCCGACTGGAAATTTACGATCGCTTACGAGCAAGCGAATAAGTTGATGGTCGCCGAGCACGCCCACCGCCTGTTCGACTAAAGTCGTCAGAGGGGGTAAACTAACCAGTCGAAGGCTATGCAAACTAAACCAGCAATCAAACATAGATTCTTAGCCAAACTTAGCCGGTACAAGGAACCAAACATGCACCGCTTGTATCGGCTAAAGCTGGCTAGAGCTAGCCTATCTTCGTTTTGCTAGGGCCATGTTTAGTTCCCTCAATTTTCAAATTTTGGCATTATGAAAAAAAAAGATTTTCCATCACATCAAACTTACGGTACATGCATGGAGTACTAAATATTGACGAAATAAAAAACTAATTGCACAGTTTTGTTGTACTTTGCGAGACGAACGTTTTGAGCCTAATTAGTCAACGATTAAACAATTATTATCAAATAAAAACAAAACGACACTGTAGCTACAACAGAACTAAACGCGGCCTAGGCAGGCTTGTTTAGGAAATGAACCAAACACACCTGTCAGTACAACAGAACTGCAACGGTCCAAAGCATCCACTGCTGAAACCCGTATTCGGGATTAAAAGACGTATTTCAAGTCCACCTATTTCAACGTTCTCCCCGGGAAGGCGGTTTCTCAACGTCTCCGCTTCGTCAGGTGAAGCTAGAGGGAGAGGGGCGCCATCTAAATTCAGAGTTTCATTCAGACTGACAGAGATGCTCCCCCGCCATCGCCATGTCCGCCGCCTCCTTCTCCTCGCCAAGCCCCGGCCTCTCTCCACCAGCGCCACCACGGCCTCCTCACCTCCCTCCGACCCCGCTCCCTCCTCCTCCCCCGCCTTCCCCGTCGCTCCCTGCCCCGACCCGTCCGCTCTCTCCCCCGACGACGCCATCGCGCTGCTCCCGTCCGTCGCGGAGGCCGAGGGCTCCGCGGCGGCGCTGGCGCTCTTCCGCCGGCTGGCCGCCCGCCTGGACCTCGGCCACCTCATGCGGCTCTACGCCACGGCCGCCACCTTATTCGTCGCGCGGGGGAACCTGCCGATGGCGCACGAGGCGGCGCGCGCGATGGTGGCCGCATTCGCGGAGCGCAGGCGCCTGCGGGAGGCCGCGGACATGCTGCTCGAGCTGCGGAGCCACGGGCTCCCGCTCGCCGTCGAGACGGCCAACTGGGTGCTCCGCGTCGGGCTGCGGCGCCACCACCCGGGCTGCTGCTTCGCGCACGCGCGCCAGGCGTTCGACGGAATGGGCGTGGGCCCCGACGCACGCAGCTTCCGGGCGCTCGTCCTCGGGTGCTGCTGGGAAGGGCGGTTCGAGGAGGCCGACGCCCTGCTGGCGGCGATGTGGCGGGAGGGGTTCTCCCTGGACAGCGCCACGTGCATGGTGGTCGTGCACGCGTTCTGTCGGCAGGGACGGTTGAGGGACGTGCCTGGGCTGTTCGGGAGGATGGCGGAGATGGGCACGCCGCCAAACGTGGTGAATTACACCGCGTGGATCGATGGTCTGTGCAAACGAGGCTATGTCAAGCAGGCGTTCCATGTGCTGGAGGAGATGGTTGCGAAAGGGTTGAAGCCGGATGTGTACACGCATACGTCGCTCATCGATGGGCTGTGTAAGATTGGGTGGATGGAGCGGGCATTCCGGCTGTTCTTGAAGCTTGTTAAGAGTAGCTCGTACAAGCCGAACGTGCACAAGTACACTGTGATGATTGGTGGGTACTGCAAAGAGGGGAAGATTGCTCGAGCTGAGATGCTGTTGGGTAGGATGGTTGAGCAGGGACTCGCCCCGAACACAAACACATACACTACACTGATCGATGGGCACTGCAGAGGGGGAAGCTTCGATCGTGCCTTTGAGCTGATGAACAAGATGAAGATGGAAGGTTTCCTGCCCAACATTTACACATATAATGCCATTATTGGGGGATTTTGCAAGAAGGGAAAGATTCAAGAGGCTTACAAGGTGCTGCGAATGGCCACTAGTCAGGGGCTGCATCCTGATAAGGTGACATACACTATGCTGATAACTGAACATTGCAAACAGGGCCACATAGCTTATGCTCTGGATTTGTTCAACCAGATGGCAGAGAACAGTTGCCATCCTGATATTAGACACATATACCACCATCATTGCTATGTATTGTCAGCAGAGGCAAATGGAACAAAGTCAGCAGCTCTTTGACAAATGTCTTTCCGTAGGATTAGTGCCAACTAAGCAAACTTATACCTCGATGATTGCAGGATACTGTAGAGTTGGCAAATCGACCTCAGCTCTCAAGGTCTTTGAGAGGATGGTTCAACATGGATGCCTTCCTGACTCTATAACTTATGGGGCACTAATAAGTGGGTTATGCAAGGAGTCAAGACTAGAGGAAGCAAGGGCATTATTTGAGACCGTGCTTGATAAGCATTTGGTGCCATGCGATGTAACTTGTGTCACTTTAGCTTATGAATACTGCAGGAGGGATAAGACAACCATTGCTGTATCATTCTTGGATAGACTGGACAAACGGCAACAGGCTCATACAGCAGATGCACTAATTAGAAAGCTCAGGGGTAATTTGGATGCTGCTAGTCTTTTCCTTAAAAATGTTCTAGACAAGCATTATGCTGTTGACCAGAAGGGCGGGCCTGGTGCAAGCGGTAGAGTCTTACCGTCTGTGACCGGAAGGTCCCTGGTTCGAGTCGCGGTCTCCTCGCATTGCACAGGCGAGGGTAAGGCTTGCCACTGACACCCTTCCCCAGACCCCGCACAGAGCGGGAGCTCTCTGCAGTGGGTACGCCCTCATGCAACTTATACAAGCTTCATCAATTCATGCTATGAAAGCAATAGATATGCTCTAGCTTCTGAAATATCTGAAAAGATCTCAAAGCGGATTTCTGGCTTTAAGAAAAAGGATGTTGCAGTTATTGCTTAATTTGCAAGAGCAATCCGAATTTCTCCCACTCATGCAGCATAGAAATTTGGCAGGAGCGCTCGATATTCCTTTTGAGCACAGCTTCTATGCCTATCGACGGCTGTAAATGGTATGCCTTTCTTATTTGGTGCCATGAACTATAATATAAAGTTTTTTCAGTATTACTTTGTCAATGTTTCGAAGGGTGGGCCTGGTGCAAGCGGTAAAGTCTTACCGCCTGTGACCGGAAGGTCCCGGGTTCGAGTCGCGGTCTCCTCGCATTGCACAGGCGAGGGTAAGACTTGCCACTAACACCCTTCCCCAGACCCCGCACAGAGCCCCGCACAGAGCTGGAGCTCTCTGCATTGGGTACGCCCTACTTTGTCAATGTTTTGCTCTTGCATACTCGATGATCTTATAAAATATCCATGTCAAGGTTAAGATGACCAGATATTGATTAATGGATTGGATAAGAGCTGCTTGAGGATTTGTATGGGGTCTGCTTTTGCATAAACCATGTGAATAGAAAGAAAGTAAGTTGTTCGTATGGGCACACAAATTGTTATTTCGTCAGGACCATAGTAGTATTTCATTTGAGCCTTATTTTAATTTGTTTGATGCAACTCTTGTGAATCCTTATATTTCTACAGGGTAACAAGTCTTTCTTAAATACTCTGAAGATATCAATGTTATATGATCTGCATCATGTATGATGGAGTTAAGGTTAGTTTACCCATGGTACCTTGTTCTGAAAAATATATTTGATATTACACTAATTGAAACTTTGCACACACAGATGCTTCTTATCTGTCTTCTACTCCCTCGGTCCCAGAAAAGATGCAATTCTAGGTCTGGTTAAGTCGAGGGCCTATCTTAACTTTGACAAGTTCATAGAAAATAGTATCAACATTGGTGATTTCAAAAAGGTATATACTATGAAAATATATTCAATGATGAATTTAATGATACTATCTTTGTATTTCAATTTAGTCAAACTTAAGAAGGTTTGACTGGATACTATTCTAGAATTGCATCCTTTCTGGGATGGAGGTAGTACTTTCTGACTTAACTGTTGTTATTTGAACCTCGTTGATGGTGTCAGTCTTTAGTAGTCCTAACTCCTAAGTCGATTCTTCATCCCCAGTTAGACAAATCTCTGTGATTGCTGGTATTTCAGCGAACCGTTGCTGTCTACACAAATACAGTGATTATTGATTGTGGGATTTCTCCATTTGCTAATTCTTAATTGAAGATGTCTTATGTTTTAGCTCTTTTTATGGGTCCTTATTGAATATGTTTGATTCTAAGCTCCACATGTTTATTTTCTGAAACCTCCATATGATCATCATTTGTTTCTTGTATTTTATACGTACATACTAACTTAGTCGAAAGGAAAGTTACTGTATGATGTCAATCTGGACAAGGTTCCATTCCACTGGTCCTGCCATACTTACTACTGATGGCTCTATTCCATTGTTATAAGATAACTGCAATACAGCACGCTGTGAGTAAAGTTCTCGTTATATGATTGCTGAAGTTGTTGGCTTTTTAAGCTAAATTTTGAATTCAAGGCTTTAAGTTTTACACACACACAGCAGAGAATTTGAGAGTTATCGACTAATACAGAATGCAATTAAAATGTAGAACAGTATATAGTCTTAATATACACATGTTCTGAGCTAGGTGTGGTCCTATCGTTGTATTAACAGCATATGGATGGAGTTACTTGTGCAAGCTATTACATAAGGACCTTACAGACTATTCCTAATCGTCAATATTTGTATTGCGTAATCCTGAAATTTCCTTATAGCCTTTCTACTTAAGGAACAAGTGAAAATCATGTCACTTTCTTATGACAGCTCATCTGCCAGTTGACAACTCAATGGCTTCCGGGATGTTTAGAGACTCTTCACTGAAGTTGAATAGTTTGCCCTGTTGCCTCATCTCATGCTGTTGTCGTCGTTGGAGCTCAGCCAGCTGCCATTCCTCCCACCGCTCTGCTGGGACAATCTCTCCTTCCAGCATCTGCACCACCTCAGACATTGTAGGCCGTTGATCATGGTCCATGTGAGTGCAGAGGAGTGCTATCTGGGTAACCTTCTCCAGCTCTTCAAGGTTGTAGAAGCCACCTAGATTGCGATCCACTAGGTCAAGTAGTCGCCCTTCCTCCATCCATAGCTTGACCTTCACATTCGCAGTCATTTGAATCAACTCGTGATTTTAAGTATTGTTTCCTTAGAGGGGACAACTATGTGAACCAATGTTTGACCAGAAACTGTAAGATAATTGCATGGTTATACCTAGTTGCTATTGATAGTAGATTTCAGATTACTACGGTTTGCAAAATTTCTGTTTAGGCCTCAACATTCTTCTCAGTTTTTCTTGACCTCTCAGTAACACTATGCACCTGATATGTACCGATTTACTCGTACCAATAGGATCATGTAGTTATCTTACCTGATCAATGAGCATGATCTCGCCTGCTTCTTCTATGCGGTCAGGATGGAATGCAATTGCACGATCTCCTGTCACAATCTCTAACAGCATGACACCATATCCAAAGATATCTGTCTTCACTGATGGCCTTCCCGTCTTTATGTACTCAGGAGCTATGTGGCCCATAGTCCCACGAAGCCCTGTTGTTACTGTATTCCTCCCTATGTCCATCATCTTCGCCAACCCAAAATCTCCTACCACTGCTTCAAAGTTCCCATCAAGCAGGACATTTGCAGCCTTGACGTCACGGTGGATGATCTTGGGATTGCAGTGCTCATGAAGGTATTCCAAACCACGGGCAGCACCAAGAGCAATTCGCATTCTTGTAGACCAATCTAACGCTGGTTCGTTTAGTTTTATATCTGCAATGCAATCATTATTAAAATATTTGAGAAGAAAAAGGATATAGGGAAAATTACTATGTTACCTAAGTTGTTTGAAACTTTTATATAATGCTGGATAAAAGTTAGAGAAAATTCAACTATGTATCCTTTTTTAATGTTGCATAGTTTCAGCATCAAGCATTTACAACGTTCACTCGTAGTCTTTGGCAATATGTTACCTCATTGACACAACTATATGCTTCAATGGATGATTCTGAGCGAAGGACAACTATATAATGAGGAAGTGATGATCATAGCTTAGTTGTACCTCTTAAACGAGAAGCAACACTAAGATTCTCCATGAAAGGGTAGACCAAGAGCCTCTCTGTTGTTGTTGTACAAAATCCTATCAACCTTAATATGTTCTTGTGCACAGCAATGCTTATCAATTCAACTTCTCTGAGGAAAGCCATTTCCCCTTCACGACTGTCCACATTCAGTAGCCGTTTCACTGCAATCTTTATACTGTTTGGACCTGGAAGTACTCCTTTATACACCTTACCAAAACCACCCCTGCCAAGAACATTCTGTTCACTGAAATTGTTGGTTGCAATCTGAAGCTCCCGCCATGAGAACCTCTTTATTTGCCCAAACTCAAGCATATGATCATTCTGACCTGGAATTGTTGAACATGTTTGTCTTTTATCAGATAAAAGAAGTTAGATATTTTCTTTCAGAATGCTTAATTTATTGAGCCATTTCAATCCGTGAAAATATGTTTTCCTCATTGAAAGTTACCACTATGGTAATTATTTAACAAACATAGTGACAGACCTGACACGTCAATGAAGATTTCAGGCTGGTAACGCATTCTTTGCCACCATAGCAAAACTAGAACTACTGTTACAAAAAAGAGTGACTGCTCCAGCAATGCTTCCAATAACCACCTTTAGCTTGGAATTTTTGACCCACCTGAATGTATTAGCAAGCATTCATTCTGAGAAAATGCCCTCAGTTTCCCTCAAATTTAGTCTCAATTTGTCACTATGGTTTACCAGTTTTTCTAGTAATTACCTGTCCTTGTGCTGCCTCCTTCACATGGAAATAAATTTTGGCCACAATTCAAGTGGTTGCCTGTAAAGCTGGGAAGCAAAAATCATCTACTAAGGATACTATAAAGTAGCACACATGAAATGATGAATTTTGTTTCTGTAATCTGCTTTCCTACAGTTATATGACATACTTGTAATGAGCCGCCTGAAGTAGATGTTGTGGGATTTCGCCGCTAATATTATTATGTGCTAGATTACTGCAAAATAAATTGAGTTATTTTACATGATAATTGAACAACTATTCACTTTCTTGAATGAACTAATATAATGGCACTAGCAAGTATGACAGCGGTTAAATTTGACAGGTTTTACTTGTACATCTTGTTGCCATGAAGAATAAAAAACTTACATGTTATTCAATGATGGAAGATTTGAGAAAGAGCTTGGGATATTCCCGCTTAAATAATTGTGGCTTAGATCCCTGTACAAGTTATCAGTTATCACTCAGGGTTTCTTTATCAGTCATGATAATATGGGGTCATGGCTGACTTACAGATTTTGGAGTTTAGAAAGTTGTCCAAGGGAGTCCGGTATCGATCCATTTAAATTATTTCTTCCAAGTTTTAGAATTGTCAAACTTGATAGGTTTCCAAACTCCAGAGGAATCCCTCCAGTTATGTTGTTGTTATCCAGTATCCTGAAACCATAGTATGTAGCAAGCAGCAAGTTTATCCATCTTGTATGGGGACCTAATTTTATGTATGATTGGACCTATTTTCATGGGCACCAATTGTTGGACACTCAAAAGAATACATGGGCAACTTACAGCTGCTGTAAAGTTGTTAGCTTTGCAATGCTGGGTGATAAGGTTCCTGTGAACCCAGACGAGCTCAAAGTTCTGCGAACTCATAATGAGAAACTAAGCAATTAGTTATATGAACACAAGTACACAGCACTACAAGCTTATAATAGTAAAATTAGGAAAGAATAGAGCATGAAACAATTCCATTCAAATGAAAACTCTTCTCCTTTACAAATGGTTGGGATTAATCACTTTAGACATAGTCAACTGTTAGAATTGGATATTTCCTTATGTTCGATGACCATAATGTGAATTTTCTACCTCTGGCAGTAATAGAGTTCAAAGTCTAGAAAGCTGAGATGAATAGGCTGAACTTACATTGTTGTAACTTTGTTGTTATCTTGGCAATTAACATAATCCCAGTAGCAGGGGCTCATTTGATTATCCTTCCAATCACTAAGGACACCACGGTTATCGCCAAGTTGCATCTTCATTTCAACCAGTGCTTCGACTGCAGACAAAACAGTCTTATTTCTGGGGTCCCAAGGTAGACTCAAGTTCTCAAAAAGTGAAATACTTCTTATTGAATCTATTCAGTGCCTCACATGCAATCTGGAATCTGTAGCACTTAAATACACAGGGCATGGCAGACAATATTTCGCCAATTGGAGATATATATATTTCAACCAAAGAAAATGAGCAGTGCTCAATAGAAGTGCTTTTATGCCCCTCTTTGTGAGAATATTACAAGGGCACTAATTAGTGGGGTCAAGCAGGTGGTCTGACCATTCCATTGGTATGCATTATTATCTATTGCGCAGATTTTTTCTAGAGTTTCTAATTCAAACATTTGACTGGTGACAGACAGGGAGCCAAATGTCTAAGATCCACTTATGTGGTCAGTAGAGATAACCTAGTCCATAGCAAATAATTTGTATGCCTCTGATGAAAGCTTGTCACTCAGAATCAAACAACAACAACAAAGCCTTTAAGTCCCAAACAAGTTGGGGTAGGCTAGAGTTGAAACCCAGCAGAAGCAATCAAGGTTCAGGCACGTGAATAGCTTGTCACTCAGAATCAAAGTTTCAGTTTAAATATATAAATTGCTTATCTAATGCCAGCTAATCAAGAACATCTTATTTGGCGAAAATGTTAAACGCCATAGCCATACCTTGGGAGTCGACAGCGAGAGAACATCTTATTTGGCATCCCAACAGAAGTAACATAAAAGCTAATAGCTTCATGGCTTCTGAATTGATCATCATGTTTTTGTTTCAGGAACAGATGCACTGCTGAATGTACTCTGATTCGGTTTACTTTAGTCAAAAAAGAAGCCCTTGTGAAGTGAAATCATTGCTGGACTGCTGCATCAATGAAACAAAGCGCGTAAGTGGAGAGCAAACAGAGAAGAATGGAAGACAGGAATACTCAGAAGAAATCTGGCATGGTTCACAACTGGATTTCTGGAAGCAAGATGGAATGGTATAACATGCCATGAATCTACATCAGCACAAAGTTTAGTTTGTTAAGGATTATATCTACAGTGGTTAAAGTTTAGTTCTGACTTCTTGTATGGAAAACAAAGTGTATCGTATTTGAGGGTGGAAAAAGATTTGTGTGTGTGAAATGAGTCTGTGTGTGGTAACTGAACTTCAGTAGCTCAATAGTATTCTTTTTTTTTTAAAGGAAAACAATTAGCTCAATAGTATTCACCAGTTCCCAGAGTTACCTCTGATGCATTTCTCAGAAAGAAAAGTTTATCTGGCATAGACATTTACATGTAAGTCCAGAATACGGAGCCAGTGAGATTATCTGTATCTGATGAGGCCTAATGACCCTACATGCCTTGTCAGTTACTACAGCCAGCCCCTATATTCTCATACATGCACCCCCTTTATTTTGTAATGACTTAGTGGGATGTACAGCAAAGCAGAATCGCTTCCAGTTGTGCCAGCATCAAGATTCGTTGAGCAGTAAGCATGTTTTTGTCTCTCCTTTTTTGGCGCTTACATAGCAACTTCTCAAAAGTCACTTCCTTGCCCCTACTCTGTTTCAAGAACTTGGGATCATGACATGCAGGTGAACTTTCTCACTCATTTCCTGTCCATTTTGCTATGCAGGTGGAAACTTCCAGTGGCCAGAGGTAGTGTTTTCATGTTGGGTTGTGTTTGGGCGGAAACAAAGCTTTACTATCCTTCCATTGGTTTCGCCACAAAAGGCAAGCAAGAAGCAGAGGCGGCTATAAGCCCTGAAGCAGGGGAAACCGCTCTAATGGAGAGGAAGCAATCCAGTCAAGCAAACAGATACTCGAAGAAGAAGACGACGACGACGACCAAGAAATCAAACAGGCAATACTTGTATGTGAGCAACTCAGCATGCAGCAAGGAAGACCGGCAAGAACTAGCAATCCAGTCAAGCAAAGAGATACTCAAAGAAGAAGACGACGAGCATGCAGGAAGGAAGGAAGACCGGCAAGAACTTACAAGAGAAGGGGGGAGAAGCATCAGGCCTGTGGTGCACCCAGCTTCTTAGAACTTTCTCTGAGCGACTGAACCTCAGGAGTTATAACGAACACTCAGTTGTTCGGAGGCTTGGAAAGAGGATAGTGGAGAGAAGCTTCAGCTCTGGGCTGAGACTGAGAGAGACTGAGTGAGGAGATAATTGGATGGTCAAATTTATGGGAGCGCTCCCTGAACGTCGAAGCAAGGTGGAGGTAATTCTAACCATCGCCCCGTTCGCATGGTTTATAAGCCGTACTTTTTCAACCAATGAACAATATTTTTTTCTCATAACAAATCAGCTAACAACAGTCATGGCTTATCAGCCAAACAAACCGAGCACATCTCATTGAATATCGCGCGTGAACGGCTCGGATTGGCTACCGTACAGATTCTCCACTCGTAAACCTAGGGCTGTCAATACCAGCTCATGTATCCGTATCAGCACGGAGATCTTTATCCTACTAAATTATTCCACTAGTAGATCTTCTAATCTCATAATAACATGGTCCTACAGTCATTTGGGCATAAGATTTTTGTTAGGAGTAGTAGAGCAAGTTGAATAGGAGTAGAAAAGAAGAGGGAAGGTGAGCATAGGGAGCTGAATAAACAGGATTGGGGTCTGAGCCTAAAAATTGTTTAAGACGACTCTGCTTGTCCTCCCCATTGACTAGCTAATGGACAGGGAAATTCACCCAAACCACCCTGACTTTTCCATATATTTTTCTGCAGCATCCAGGCCCCACGCAATTATTATGAGACTGTACTCTGAAGAATATCGACGTGGATTCGACCATGGCAGAAGTTTTTGTTTAACACAAATCAGAATAAGTGGAGCAAGTGAACTGAGCTGCGTAGTAGGTAGTCCGTATGTTTCTTGAACAAAACTAAGGAGACTGTCAGTCTAACTGTGACACTGTACCTACTGATGTTGCCCCTGCTGAGCCATTTATTATTCCCTGATACTACTGAAACGACGATACGTGGATGACAAATTACAGGTCGTCAGTCTTCTGCTCTCTGTGTGTTTGTGTTTTACTCGGCCAAAATGTACCTTTCATGATGACATGGGCCCATGACACTAAAGAGTGGGTATGGATATGTCTGTTAGTTCCACTCGATTAGTGTGAGTAATGCGTGTTATCATCCCTTTTTAGATTAATTGCGCCATGTTGTTATCAGTACAGTTATTAGTAAATTAAAGTTCAACTAATTCTAGAGTAAATTTATCCGGCACTAACTGCTGTCTGTATTATTCTACTGCAAATTGGCAAATAACCTATGGTTGCAACGTTCCATGCTGTAAATACAATATGTATGTATAAAAATAGCGCTTTTGACCGTTGACTCAACTACAGAATCCTGTCCAGATCAGCTTTCACTGAAACTTCAACATGTCAAGCATAGTGCTGTTTTTCTCAGTTTTCTTTCTGGATGATTGTGACTCTGAGTTATCCAACTGGGGTTCAAGGAATGCTATTGCTAAGTATCAAAGGTGCTCCTTTTAGCACTGCAATATTAATGATGTTGGAAATGTTCAATCGATGATTATCGGCAAGTTACTCCATTCCTGGGCACTTTTGTTCTTAACATTTTTTCCTCAGCATAACCCAGAAAAGTTTGTTCTTCCACTCCAGGGAAAAAGAAATAAAAAAGGAAAAGAATCTGCTTTAATTTGCCATCTCATTTTGTTCCTTTTCACAGCTGGTGGTAAACTTTTGTTTGTCTATTACTAACTTTTCACGCAAGTGGAATAGGGATAAAATGTTCCCACCCGTCCATACGTCTGAAGGCTTTGGATGCCTTGTTCTAAAACATCCGATAAAATTTGGTAGACTTTAATCATCACCAATAATAATAGCGATATAATGAATTACAATGTAAGCATTAAATGTTATGTGTGGGAGGGGGAGGGGGGGCGTTTAAATTTTCTTAAAAACTATTAATGAGGAATGGAAAATGTATTGACCAGTTGTAACCAAAAGTCTATTACACCTAGATAAAGATTACACAAGCGTTACAAAATAAACAAATGAGAGAGTGAATGCACAAAGATCGGAACTTTGATTAGTTGTAAGCCTCAAATTTATCCACAAACTTGTAACGTTCATGTACCTTTTAAAATACATGTAACTGCTAGTTTGTGTAGGAGCACATGTTGATGTACTAGTGCTTCATAATTCATCTACATGATTATTGTTTTTATCAAATGAAAAAGAAGAAACACATGCCTATAATTTAATTTATTTGGTATATAGAAAAAGGCTACCTGCAAGCAAGTGTGGAATAAGAATGCTTTACAATGAAGAAACGTTTGGACATTAAACAAGAAAGATAGAACTATTCGCGAAAAAGGTCAAACAGGTGTCCTGCACCTCAAAGATTCAATCTTAGCCTCTAACTTGAGATTATTGTACAAAAAAGTTGAAACCACCAACAAGTATGTAAACATATTGTTTACACTACAGAAACAGATAGGTAACACAACACTAAAGCTTAGAGTTATGTTCTTTGCGTCGATGCCCAAATTGGTGCCTACACCTCATAGCGCATGCGTTACTGTAGCACCATATTATCAAATCATGAACTAATTAGGCTTAAAAGATTCGTCTCGCAAATTAGACGTAATCTGTGCAATTAGTTATTTTTAGTCTATATTTAATACTCTATGCATGTGTCCAAACATCCGATGTGATAGGACGTAAAGTTTTAAGGAATGAACTAAGCAAGGCCGTTCTAAAGCACTTGGATACGCCTAGTTAGGTTGCAGTTTTTCCAAGAACGGCAACCTAATTACAACGTTTTCCCATGCATTCACTTATTTGAAGGGTTCAATAAACAAAATACGGTAGTGGGGCCTGCACAAAGAGTGGCCCCTTTTGAAGTTCTGTTTTTGCCCGTGCATTGGAATGGTATTGAGGTCCTAAGACAGAGAACCTTCTTGCATGTATAAGTAGCATGATTTAGGAAGTATAATTCCACTCCATTCGTTCCAAGATATTTTATACATTGCGATTAAACAAATGTTCCAAAAACTTGGGCCGTTTGAGCATCCACATCTAATCCCGTCGCATCCACACTTAATTTTTCCATGCCACGCGTGGCCAGTTTTCTATTCGCAGCAACAATCTGCTCGTGGCTGCTAACCAATGAGGCAGCCCACTTGTATTCATTCCGTCCAAAAATAACGACAATAATATCTCGTTTTTTTAAAAGTCATTTATTAAAAACGATAATGATATAAGCCACTGTCGTCCATCCGTGACTTCCGTCCGGATGCGGTTCCGCAGGAGCGGGCGTCATCGCTTATCCTTATTCGCCCGGCGCAGCAGCGTGGCCGCTCATTTGTCTGAGCCCCTTCCCCACCATGCGCTCATCGGCTGCTGCGTCGTGCCCCACCACCCCGTGCCCCATCGCCGACCGCGCCGCGGGCTCGTCCCAGAAACCTGTGCCGCTCGCTCCCATTGCCGTCGTGCACGCCACAGACCCCGCCATGGCCGTTGGGCGCATGTGGCGTGGTGCCATAGGTCTTCCTCGGCCGAGCCAAGGGCACCCACTAGCGCGAGCGGTGCTGGCGGTGCTCGTGCGCTGCGGCTTGCCGCCGGCTCCGACCCCGATGGCGTGAATCGACTGGCCCGACCTTCCCCTCCCCTATGTTGCATATGTATGTTAAGTGTTTCAAGCATTTCAGATATATGTTGCAATTGTTTCGTCTTGATGTTGCAAAAGTAGATCGAGGGATGTTGCATATGTTTCAAGGGTTTCAGAGGCATGTTGCAAGCATTTGTTCAAAATGTTTCATTTGTTTAAAGACGTATGTTGCAAGTGTTTTGATCTAGATGTTATATATGTTGCAATAGTATGTTCCAAATGTTTCAGTTGTTTCATTCTTATATTGCAGCATCAGTCCATCACAGCATAAACAATGACCAACAAAATCTTTTGCGAAACCGAAAGGTCTACAAAATCTAACGAACAGTGTTTGGGGACGCATATATTCTGTTCCCACTTCAGGCCAGGCCGTGCCTCACATTGGTCCGATCCAAAGCCGTCCTCATCCAGCTCCCCTCTCCTGGATGCAATCATCCATGGCCTATTCGTCACTTCAGAGTTGCACTGTCGTCCTGAGAATGAATACGCTGGATTCCATGTCCTTTGGTTGGTTTCTTCTTCCAAAGCTTTCATGGCACACACGCACAGAAAGCGAGTCCTGATGCTCTTTGGCAGAGAGACAAGATTGAAGGAGCAAGGGAACCGAAGGACGGTATATCAGGGCATGCAAGTATGCATCGAGCAGACAGACAAGCCCATGGCACACGTTCAGCGTGTCAAACCAGTCACCCAGCTAGTCTTGCATGACTGTGTGTGTGTGGGGTTGGTGTAAAGGCTGTTGCCTTTTGAGCTTCTTTGAGACGACTGTGAGGGTCGATTGAATACGAATCACTGGTATGTATGTAGTACAGATTGGGCACAGAACCATATGATTTATTCAAATTTAATTTGAACTAAATCATAGTTAACGGCAAATCCTCTTTTAAACACTTGAAATGAATTTAGAGGTTCGTGAGGCAACCTCTCCCCCGTACACTCCAGGGAGTAAGTAAGGGTGTGTTTGTTTTTATGGATACCTATGGATGTGACATGGATATTCTGATTATAGGGTGATTGATTGGATGGATAAGCTGAATCTAAATATCCACAATAGGGAATATTCTGGGTAGATGCCGGAGATCGTGGGCCTCACAAATCTGGCATGCTTTCTAACCTTTGTTATTAGCAAATAAATTAAGGATTATTAGTATGCTATATTATTAATTAGTAATTATGATGACAAGATAAGTTTTGATAAGTGTTAATACGCTGATTAGCGCATGTTTTGTGTGACAATTAGAGTAGTATAGTGCTAATTAACATATTTTATTTTTAATTAGTGATTATAATGACAAGATTAGCGTCGGTGCCTATTTATTAGTGTATAATTAGTTGTTATTATTTTTAAATAATAGATATAATTATTCAAGTATCCTCATCCCATCCAATCTCATTCGTCCAACCAAACAGAAAAATGGCACGCCCCATCCATCCGACCAAGACAACATGGATATCGTCATATCCCGAAATCCATGGATGGTCATATCCCATTCACCATTGTCCTCAATCCAAACGCTCCCTAAACAGATGTATTTGTCTGCACAATTTCCTTCACTAGAGCAAAATGGAATGGTTGGTGTAAGGAACACGGGGAAGTGGCCCAATTTTTTACAATTTGGTCATTTTTTTTAAGAAAAAAATTACATTTGGTCTTCTGGAAGACATAAACTCATCTTTGGACCTAGAGGGTCGGTGCCACGACTCATGACTCCGAGTTAACACGTCTCGACGCTACAGATTTTGGCTCCGAGGTGCCTGACTGTGCACAGCAGGACATCCTAGGTGGCGTTGACGTGGCCGGTACCTCGGCGCCACAGATCTTGGCTTCGAGCTCGACGCCACAGATCTTGGCTTCGAGCTCGACGCCAAGATCTGTGGCTCCGAGCTCGGAGCCCTGGATCCTGACGCCGAGCATTAGTAAAAAAAATTGAGTACTACAGTGAAGTCTGGAGTCCTGGGGCCGGGGCATCTGTGACGCTGGAAGCCTCCCTCCCCTCCTAATAAGAAGTCCTTCAGCCTCCGTAGGAAGGAAATCCAAGCATCAAACTTGTCATTCTCGCCTGTTCTTGCCAGGAGAAACAAAGATGAGGAGGCCTCAGGTGATACTCGTCGTCACTCTGGCTGTTCTCGGCGTCCTCGCAGCTCTGCAGCCCGGCGAAGGTGACGACGAATCCTTTTGCCGTTTAGTTTAATTTTCATCAGGAAATACACACATCACTTGTTATAAGGATGCATTCATGCACACTACTACTAGACATTTTGACTAAACATGCGTGGGCACACCGCACACCAGGCTCGTGGCCGTGCTGAGACAACTGCGGTGTTTGCAACAAGAAGCTCCCGCCGGAGTGCCAGTGCAATGACATCTCGGTGCGCGGGTGCCACCCGGAGTGCAAGAAGTGCGTCAAGCTCGGTGCAGGGGTTCCTCCCGGCGGCGGCCCCGGCCCCGTCGTCACCTACCGCTGCGCGGACATTCTCACAAACTTCTGCAAGCGCCGCTGCACGCCGGCGCCGCCGCCGGAGGCGGCGTTCCTGGGTGGTGTCTTCTGATGGCATGGGATCGACGCCGTCGATCTGCGCTGCAAGCATGCATGCCAAGTCGAGTTTGCTTCTCTCGAGCTTCGTCAGAGAAGAAATAAAATAAATGTCGCCGCTCTGCTCGATGCTTGCTCTTGCACGTCGTCAGTGTATTAGTACTGTTTCTGGAATAAAGAGAGCCATGCATGATGCATGCCATGCTCAAAGCACTGTTGGTTACCTTGTATTGCCCACAACTTCCTGCAATGTCTTGTCAGGCAGGCTCGCTACGTCATTCATCTGCCAAATGCCAAAACGTTTTTGTGACGTCCAGACGCACCAGATGCCACGCTGGTACTTAGTACCGACGTCCCACCGAGACTGCTTCCACGATGCCGATATTCCTAACGCCGAACAGATGTGCTACGTCTATCTGAAACTAATCTGTACTTATTTTTAGAGGCGATTTTCTTAACAGAACCACCTCTTAAAATAGATATTTAGAGGCGGTTTATGAGCCAGTGCTCTTAACTATAGTTAAAAGCGGTTTTAATCCACGGCTCCGAGCTCGGAGCTATAGATCTTAGCGCCGAGACGTGTTAACTCGGAATCATGAGTTCTGGAGCCGACCCCTGAGTCCAAAGATAAGTTTACGTCTCCCAGGGAGCCAAATGTAAATTTTCTTTAAAAAAAGACCAAATTGTAAAAAATTGGGGGAAGTGGCATGTGTGAAAGGCACCTCCAAGTCTCCGTCTAGTTGCCCTCCTTCATACGGTGAAGTGCCTAGGACGATGTCCTTTTCTGATGGAGCAATGATTAACCCTCTGCTTTTCAAGCTAATAGTGCTCAATTAAGATTCTGCTTTTTTTTCTCAGCAAAACAATATTTCTTTTTTGAGTGTGTTCTACAGCACTTGGATACGCCTAATTATAGTTTCCAGCTTTTCCAAGAACGCCTAGACTCAAATCCCATACCATGTTTTTCCATATTCGCTTATTTGAAGGGTTGAATAAACAAAAGACGGTAGTGAACATGTTTTTGTCTCCCTTCAATCCACAATTGTTCATGCTCAATGTGTGAAACTAGTCACTGAGCCATGTCTGTTATTGGCACCTAATTTTTCCTTGCCATGGGTCGCCAGTTTTCTATTCGCAACGACAAATCTGCTCGTGGCTGTTAACCCATGAGGCAGCCCAAGTATTCATTTTCGAAAAGTTATTTTAAAAAATGATTAGGTTTATTAAAAATATTATTAGCATTTATATCTCCTAAGTCCTGATATTATATTTATTATAAAAATATATTTCACTATTAACCTAATGATACCTGTTAGGCATCATAAATAATGTATATATTTGGTCAAATATAATAATGTTTGGCTTCTAAAAAAATGAAATGTGCAATTATTTTGGATCGAAAGGAGTACGGGGAACCCATCTAATAAATAGGGATCTAGTGTTATTTCTCCTTTATAATTAATTTATCCAAAATCTTAGAACATCAAATATTTTGGAATAGAGGGAGTGTAAAAAAATCCCTAGACCCTGCGTAACTGAACGCATTGTCTGCATGCTTTCACTTGTTCACACACGTGACAAAAGAAACATAGAAAATTAAAATGATTATTTTTTGAGAAGTAAAAATGGCTGTTCAAAAGGGAGCCTTCTGTCACTAGTTCTTCACCACACTGAGATACACTACGTAAAAAACGATTTTTTTTAGTAATGGGTCAAATTTTTTGTAGGGGCGGCTGGTGATGGAGCCGCCCGTACAGTGTCGTGCTTGAGTGCCCAGACACCAGCCGCTCCTACAAATAGAACAGCAGGGGCGACTGGTGATACGAGCCGCCTCTACAAATGGGTCTGATTTGTAGGGACGGCTCACTCACCAGCTGCCCCCGGCGATTTTATTTGTAGGGCGGCTGGTGATTGAGCCGCTCCTACAAATGGCCGCGTATTATTACCTGCTATTTGTAGGGGCGGCTCAATCACCAGTCGCCCCTACAAATATCCCACACAAATGGCCGCGTATTATTACCTACTATTTGTAGGGACGGCTCAATCACCAGCCGCCCCTACAAATGACCCACATATAAAACAACTGCAGCATCTTCTTCCTCCTCGGGTCACTCACTCCAACCCGTGAAAGAAAGGTGGGGAGGTCTTGGGCACCTCCCAAAAATTGCTCTACTTAGGGGGGAGGTTTTGGTCTCAAATTCTTTGGTGAAAAGGTTGTAGAAGGTAAGAAAATGTTATTCCACACTTTTTTGAAGTTTTAATGGTTGGTTAGTGAGTAATTAGAGTTTTGTTTTTCTCTCTCTTCTATGGTGCTTGAGCTACTTATGAAGCAAATTAGACCCAAGTTTTAAATGTACTAGGATAAATTAAGGAGGGGAACAAGATCATACCTTTATTTGGTCCATGTTTCTTGATTTTAGTGAACAATTAGTTAGTTTTATGGATGTTTCATGTGCATGTGGATCTAGATCTAGGGTTTATTTTTTTTTATTAATTTTATTTTTGTAAATTTATGTTTAATGAAATTAGACTAGGGTTTGTATGAAAGATATTGGGTAAAGTATAATTGTTGCTAATTGTTGTCTTTGAAATTGTTTATTGTAATTAATAAATATGTATTTTAATTATTTATGGATAAATGGGCCATTAATTAATTTTCCTCTATCATGGTGTGTTTGTATGCTTCATGTAATTATATTAGATTTATATTCATATATATCTGAAGTATATACAATTATTCTCAAGTAATTATTAATTTGATTCATTTTTATATATATCTGAATAAGTAGTCCTTTAATGTTTGATTTGTTATTGTTGTTGTAAAAGATGAGGTACAGGAACTCTTGGATGTATGGTTCGTTAAGGGTCAAGGCAGGTTTTCGTGAAGAGGTGGATAAATTTATTGAAGCCGCAAAGAAGTATGCAACGACATTGAAAGAGAATAAGGATACAATTATTTGCCCATATAAAGATTGCAAGAACCGTATGGCATGGACAGATGTGACTATTATCATATCACATTTGATTATGCGAGGATTTATTGAGGACTACATAGTGTGGATTCATCATGGTGAAACGGTTATTGTTAACGACGAGGATGAGGAGGAATACGATGATGAAACCATAGAATCCCTGTCCTAATATTCAACAGAGCTTGATGTACGAATGGATTTCGAGTTTGGCAATGAACAAGGTGGTGATGCTAGTGGTTGGGATGGTAACGACGAAGGTGGTGCCAATAATGATGGTGGAGCACGTATCGGGGATATAGATGATTTGGAGGACATGATTTGAGCCCTTGAACCAGAGATTTTACTAAATAGCCCGAAAGGTCTAGAAAATTTGGAAAGGGTGATAAAAGCATCGAAGAAGACTGTGTATGGTGTTGAAAAGGGCTGTCCGACACATTGGACATTGCTACGTTTTGTGCTTGAGCTGCTCATCCTGAAGGCTAAGTATGGCTGGTCAAACTGTAGTTTCAATGATCTATTGCATCTCCTATCATGGGTGTTGCCACAACCAAACTTAGTTCCCGCCAACACATACCAAGCAAAGAAGGTCATAAGTCCATTGACAATGGGGGTTGAAAAAATCCATGCATGCCCCAACCACTATATACTTTTTCGTGGCGAAACGTTCAAGTCACTGGATAAATGTCCCCGGTGTGGGGCCAGCCGGTACAAGAACAATGACCTTTACGGTGGGGACAAACCCTCCACGGGGAAAAGAGGAATGAGAAGGGTACAAAAAAGGTGGTACAAGAATCTCAGCCCCTAGAGGACACTCTGTTAGGCAACAATGCAAAGCAGAGAAGAATTCCTGCCTTGGTAATGTGGTACCTGCCAGTGACCGACCGCTTGAGATGTATCTTCCTAAACCCTAAAGAAGCCGCACTCATGACCTGGTGGGATGATGAGCGCAAGGTGGATGATGATAAGATTGCACACCCGGTTGATTGTAGTCAGTGGCAAAGGTTTGATGAGAAGCACAAAGAATTCAGTGATGACCCAATGAATGTACGGTTTGGCTTGAGCACCGATGGAATAAATCCCTTCAATGAGAGGATGAGCGACCACAGCACATGGCCAGTGATCTTGACCATGTACAACATTCCAACATGGTTGTATCAGAAGATAAAGTACCTTCTCCTCACTATTCTTATTTCTGGCCCTAAACAACCAGGCATTGATATAGACGTGTTCCTCGAGCCTTTGATGCAAGAAATAGAGAGTCTATGGAGGCATGGGGAGCAGATGTACAATGCGTTCCGAAAGGAGGACTTCATATGTAGAGCAATAATATTTGTTACTACCAATGATTACCCCGCGCTGTTTGCTTTGTCTGGACAGATCAAAGGGAAGACGGGATGCTTGGTTTGCTTGGATGGTACTACATGGGTGTACCTAGATGCATCCAAGAAGATAGTTTACCTAAGGAACCGACGCTTCTTAAAGACAAGTCACAAGTACCGTAATAAATTGTTATTTAGATTTTATGACAACGCCCCGGAGATTGAACCCCCTCCGGAGAGACGTTATAATGGAGAACACGTGTACAGAATGGTGAAAACATACGCGTCGTCTATGGAAAGAAGAATCCGAATGGGACGAACAGAGATAGAAGCACACCTCCTGTCGAAGGTGTACCTTTCAAGAAACAATCGATCTTCTTTCAGTATCTGCCTTATTGGCCAGACTTGGAGGTCCCCCATGCCATTGATGCTATGCACATGCAGAAGAATGTCTTTGAGAGTCTCATTGCTACCTTGATGGACACAGGTAAGTCAAAGGATGGTCTAAAAGCACGAAAAGACATGGTGCAGCTAAACGTGATGCCACAACTTCACCCAGTACCTGAGGCTAATGGAAAATACACTCTGCCTGCGACGTGCTTTAACCTAAGACCAGACGAGAAGAGAGCTATATGCACTTTCCTGAGGGGGATCAAAGTCCCGACTGGGTTTTCAGCAAATGTGAAGAAGCTAGTGTCGATGAAGGACTTGTCAATAATGCACTG